GAACGATCATGAGAGAGCCCCAGAAAGCGCGGGGGAGATTCCCAGACGTCCAGCGCTTCGATTTGTTCGACGCGTGGGCCCTGAGACCTCTCGACCTCTTCCCCACGACCAGCTTTTCATCCCGAGTCATTTGTTGAGGGCCCGGGGGCCCGACACTAGCTTCGCCATAGGCAGCAGATGTTTGGGTTGTCGAGTTAACGCTTGGCTCCTTCAGCCCTGCAGCCCTTCGGGACGATCGTGGCAGTCTTGGCACCTCCAGAGAGCCCTCGGCGCCGCTGCTGGAGCGCTTCCCGAGGCAGGAAATCCTTCAGACTCGACGAAAGCCATCGTCGTCATCGTCGTCCACCGCGACGATCACGAAAACGAACGCCGAAGGCTGACGACGACGACGACGACGAAGGCCACCGCGACGACAATAACGACCGCCACGACCACGACGACAACTGCGGCGACTGCGCCCACCACAACGGCCACCACAACGCTGACGAGGCGGACAATGACGAACCACACGAGGCGGGCGACGACGATGACCCCCGAGATCCGACGTTGCGAAAAATACACGATGGTGAAGCATCAACACCAGAGCCTAGACTCTCCAAGACCCGGATCGATCTATGATGGTCGCGGGGCCCGAAGCGAGGCAGAATTGCCCGATGCGAAAGGATTGCGACGCCAGGATCCCGGGGGGCCAGGGGGAAACGCCGACGACTACGACCGCGATGATTGCCCGTTGCGAAGAGTTGCGACGACGACGACCGCGACGTCGGCGGCGGCGGCGTCGCCCCGCAGGATCCATTTCGATCCGATTGGTTCGATTCGATACCGACTCCAGCCGACCCGATCCGATTCGATTCCGATCTTCGCTCGATCCCAGTCGGCCCGACGCTTACATGGCGCTGTTGTGCGTCCTGGCGCGGCTTATCCGATTCGATTCCGACTCCGTGCCCATGCGGCCCGACCCGACGTTCATTCCTACAGTCAAGACGCTGACACAAGGATCAGGTTGAGCTCAGAAGGGGCTCGGTTCTCGGGTCGGTCCTTGCAGTCGGACCGAGGTATGGGATCGAGGTCGGCTCGGGGAGGGCAGCCTTGTGTTCTTCGTGCTTGCTTGTGTGTTCTTGTACTTCCTGGGGGAGGGTACCCTTGGACGTTCGGTGTGTGTTTGGCCGGCGGAGGGTGCCATGTTCTTGAAGGATGTTCGTCTGCCCGAGGTCCGACTGTAGGTTCATGTCGTGGAACCTGCTCCTGGCCCAGGCCCGCCGTGGCCAGAACAGAGAGCCCATCGCCAGTTATTAGGCGTCCCTCCTGGTACAGTGCCGTTTTTTAATGCATGCTCCGCGTGCGGATCATGTATTAAAAATGCAGGGTTTAGTATTAAAAGCAACGATGAGTTTATGCATACATGGATTCATACATTAGTCATGCATCAAAACCTTATGTTTTTCTCTTACAAAACAACAAATCCAAAGTTTTAAACACTGCCCTGTAGCAGGACGACTGTGTTCGATCCGATCTTCCGATTCGATGCTGGTTTGATGCGCCCATTTTCCACCACCGCTGCCATAGGTAGAAGAGGGAGGTGGCGGAGGAGGAGGCGGAGGAGGAGGCGGAGGAGGTAGGAGAAGGAGGAGGAGGAGGACGGCACGCGGCGGAGGAGGTAGGAGAGGGAGGTGGTGGAGGAGGAGGAGTAGGCGGAGGAGGAGGAGGAAGAGGAGGAGGAGGAGGACCTCATCCTAACTTCTCCCCCGTCCTGCATCCTGGTGCTGGCGGTGGAACATCTGCCCAGCATGGTCGGTGCTGCCCCGCAGGGGGAGGCGCCGCGGGAGCGGCGGGCCACTCCGCGACGCTGGTGGGCACCCCGCCGGGCAGCCCGCGGGGCACCGTGGAGGGCGTGGCGCTGTGGCCGGCGCCTCGCCGGCCGCGGTTTCGGCGGTGGCCACGCTCGGAAGCCGGAGGACGAGTGATGGGCCTGTTTTCCACCACCGCCACCACTAGAAGTTGGAGGGGGAGGGTCCTCCTCCTCCTCCTCCGCCTCATCCTCCTCCTCCTCCTCCTCGTTCCTCCTCCTCCTAGCCTCCTCCTCCTCCTCCTCCTCCTTCTCCCTCCTTCCCCCGCCTCCTCCTCCTCATCCTCCTCCTTCTCCTCTCCTGCTCCTTCCCCTCCTCATCCTCCTCCTTCCCCTTCCTCCTTCTCCTCCTCCTCCTCCTCCTCCTCCTCCTCCTCCTCCTCCTTCCCCCCATCCAACTTGTGGTGGTGGTGGTGGAAAACAGGCCCATCATCGAGGACCACTTTTGGCTCAGAAGGCCCGATGCTCCTGGGGTCGTATTTTTCACACCGGGTGATCTTTCGAAGAAGAGAAAGCCACATACACATAATATGTTTGCGCTCTGCGCGGAGCGCCAAAAGTTATGTTTATGGCGTGCTTTCTCCTTCTAATCTTGCCCTGATCAGGGCCCTGGGACCATCACGGATCGATCCAGTTGGAAGACTGCAGCAGGTAGATGGGTTCCGGGCTCCAGTGGTGAATGTTGTCTGCTGATTTGCAATCTCGTTTTTCGAGCCTGCCGTTTTTTCCCCGGTTTGTGCCGAAGACCTGCGTGGTCCTTCGTCGATCTCCTGGACCATCCACAACGGGTCCGTGGCGATAAGCTGATCCCACGGAAGCGGTCGTGACCCCTGGGGCCGCGGATCGAAAAGATCACATTTGCGGACCTCCAGTCTCCCAGATGTTCTCGGATGTTCTTCCCTCTCAGATGAGTACAGTCAGCCCACCCAGCAAGGATGAGCGACTGTCCAAGGTTGCTCTTGCATTCTTCCCCTTCGGTCCCCCCTTGGCCACTTTCGGTGGCCGCGCCCCGCTCGAGAAGCGTCGAAATGGTCTTCCAAGGCCCTTGCCTCCTTACTGCACATCCTCTTCATACGGGCTGACCGCAAGAGACTGTACGGACACCCGTTCCTCGTGGCCACAAGGGGGTTCGCCTCGGAGGAGGGCGGAGGAGGAGGAGGAGGAGGGCGGAGGAGGATGAGAGGAGGAAGAGGAGAGGGGAGGAGGAGGAGTAGGAGAGGAGGAGGAGGAGGGGGAGGAGGGAGGAGAGGGGAGGAGGAGGAGAGGAGGCGGAGGAGGAGGATGACGAGGAGGAGGTAGGAGGGAGGGGGGAGGATGGGGAGCTAGGGCCAGGGGGAAGGAGAGAGGATGAGAGGAGGAGGAGGAGGAGGAGGAGGAGGAGGAGGAGGGGGGGAGGGGGGAGGTTGGAGGGGGAGGAGGAGGAGGAGGAGGAGGAGGATGGAGGAGAGGAGGAGGAGGAGGAAAGAGGAGGGGGAGCAGGGGAGGAGGAGGAGGATGGGTGAGGGAGGGAGGAGGAGGAAGGGGAGGGAGGAGGGGGGAGGAGGGGCCACTTTGGGCTCAGGAGGGGCTGTGCGTCGGCTCTGGGTCGGTGAGCCGGTTCGTGGCCGAGGCTCGCCGTGGCCCGAGAAAAGTCTTCGTTCCTCCTTCCGCGCTACCGATTGCAGCACGACCTGCCGCCTCCTCCTCCTACTCCACTTCCTCCTCCTCCTCCTCCTCCTCCTCCTCCTCCTCCTCCGCCTCCCCTCTTCTCCCGACTCCTACTTCTCCCCTCTCCTCCTCCCTCCTCCTCCTCCTCCTCCTCCTCCTCCTCCCCCACCTCCTCCTCCTCCTCCTCCTCATGCATCCTCCTCCTCCCTCCCCCTCCTCCTTTTCCTCCTCCTCCTCCTCCTCCTCCTCCTCCTCCTCCTCCACTCCTTCTATCATATGAGGCGCTCCGAGGAGGGCATTGCCTTCGAGGGACGAAGGAGCTGTCATCTCTTCCTCGGCGGAAGGCGGCGGAAGGTCGTCGGAAGGCGGCGGAAGTAAAACGAGGCTGCCTCCGCCCGCAGAAGGCGGCGGAAGCTCGGCGGCAGCCGGCGGAAGCAGAGGTCAACGTTCCAAGAGATGACCGCATTTTTGGGTTCAGGGTTTCCGGAACCGACCATATCTCCCCCTGTTCTTGCTGGGACCGCACAGGGTTATGGAGATTGAAGAGATGGGATCCAGGCCGTCCGAATAGGTCCCAAGCAGATTGTGTTGAGGGATCGCACCGTGTTGCCGATGTGTCGGCGACTCGGCGCGGCCTGGAGCCCGATCTTCTGGACCGACGTCGTTGGTGCATCGCCGATGCATCGGCGATGCGATGCGATCTCCCGACACAGAATATTCCAGCCTCATTCGGAAAGCTTGCATGATCGGATAGAGGAGGACGGACGAAGGAGGGAGGGGAATGAGGATCAGCGTTGAGGAGAAGCCAGATGATACGGGAGGAGGAGGAGGAGGAGGAAGTGGAGGAAGAGGAGGAGGATATGGAGGAGGATGAGGAGGGGGGCCATGCATCACAAGGGCGACAAGGAGACATTTGATTGGAATGACAGCGGCAGCAGGAGGACAGGAGAGGAGAGATGAGAGAGCAGGAGATGTGCAGCGGGAAGGCGCAAACGACGTTTGACATTCGTCAAAAGTTTGAAAGTGGATCGTCCGATGGTGTCGAGCCCAGTGCTTTGGGATGTC